CGTTATGTATTTAGCCACACACAATAAGCTATATGTACTATAAACTGAATAATTAGTGAACGTTGAACATAACCCACACAGCACAGTGATATTCGTAGGATGTACTGAGGATAACTTTTCAGGATATATAGGATATCCTCGGATAGGTACACGATCACCTCATGATGTACCAGGGATATCCAAATGGAACCTCCCGGGCTTTGCGTGTGACGTCCTGAGGACATCCGCCTGGCTATATACAGGACATTGTCAGGTTATCAGTGGATCAAATGAGGACAACCTAGGCTTTACTGTTGATGTCCTCAGGACATCAGCCGGGCTATTATCAGGTTATCAGTGGATCAAATGAGGACAACGTAGGCNCTGCTCGCTGGTGAAGGAGTTTCCAGGTATACATATTTCCTGTTTGAAGTCATCAAAGAAGGAAGCTAATACTTATAGCGTTCTTTCTCCATTGTGAGTTCGATCTGCTTCGGGTGGATGATCGACGCTCTAATTACCTATTTATTGGTATGATCTAAGACGCACTAGGCACTGCATTTTGTTTTAAACGAGTGAGTTTTTTTATGATTTAAAATGATTTGTGTGTAACGGGTATTTAACTGAACCCTGTATGTGTTTTCACAAAGTTTTATAGGGGGTCCATGGGTACTGTAACCATGGTCAATGGGTACCTTCCTCTTCGTTTGCGCTTTAATATTTTAAAGCAAAATTACACACAAGTGTGCCGACGAATTCTGCTAAATTTCGGATAAATCTTCTTCTACTCTACAACCTACTTCTCTACAATCACCTGCGTTATCAATAAAAATCATTTTTTTTAATTTTAATTTTGACACCTTGTATTTTGAAAATGGGGCTCCAAAATGAAAAGTTGCATAAGAAAAGTCCTGTATTTATTTTAGTCCACTGCTTGACCTACTAATTTGTAACACCTTGTATATGACCTATTATCTCGAACTACAAAGCCTTTATAAATGTTTACAAGCCACGTGACCGCCGAGCTTAGACAACCAGCATTGTAGAGCTAGCCCACACAGCACAGTGACATTCGTAAGATGTACTGAGGATAACTTTTTAGGATATATAGGATATCCTCGGATAAGTACACGATCACCTCAGGATGTACCAGGGATATCCAAATGGAACCTCCCGGGCTTTGCGTGTGACGTCCTGAGGACATCCGCCTGACTATATACAGGACATTGTCAGGTTATCAGTGGATTAAATGAGGACAACCTAGGCTTTACTGTTGATGTTCTCAGGACATCAGCCGGGCTATTATCAGGTTATCAGTGGATCAAATGAGGACAACATAGGCTTTACTGTTGATGTCCTCAGGACATTAGCTGGGCTATATACAGCACATTTTTAGTACTTATTGGGCTAATAAAAAAAATTACAGGGTGGTATTAAATATTTCTATAGATCAAATACGTACCTAATTTCCAAAACATTTGCTTGCCATTTCCACTCCATCTAATATTTTTTATTNTTTATTAAGTAAATTCTATGCTTTACCTGCAAATTAAAATAATGCTGAAATCTGGTAAATTTTAGGGATGTTGCCTTAAATTAATAATTTAATACCTCGAGCATCATTATCATTTTAATTAATTCCTTATTCAGATACGAACGATGTCACTCATTTTCATATGGGTTCTTAAATCTGAAATCAATTATGCTCATTCATCACTTCATTTCTCTCAGAATCCTTGCAAGAGACAGGATATCTTACGTAAGCATTTCATAACACTCAGCTCCAATTTATTTCTTCTGGCAAATAAAAGTTGTGTTATTGACACTTCTAATGATTGGTTCCAACAATTAAAATGTAAAGTGAAAAAAAGCTATTATAGATATTGCTGGAGGATTGACAATCAAATTTATACATCCTGGAGAAATATCTATACAGAGTGACCTATTAGTATGACAAAATGAAATATCACCAGATGTAGCAGAAAAAAGTGCAGAAATACCTTATACTAGAAAATGAAGCCACAGGGTATTGCATTTGAAAAATCGACGAAAGTGTATTTCGAAATTCGAGTTAGCTTGTCTATAGATAACCTTTTGTTATAGTGAATGCCTGATAGTATGTTTGGCAAACCTTTATTTGTAACCACATACCATCTAAAAATAAATACAAATTTTAGCAGAGTACATATGCTTTCATAAAAGTTAAGAAATTTTCAAAACAATCTGACATTATTATTCACTCATATAAACTCATTTAAATATAAGCTACCATACTAATTCTTAAAATAATATTTAAGTGTTATGGCAAAATATAATGGGAAACTTCAGGAAAAGAGAAACAAAGTAAATATTGATGAATATTTATTGTCTTCTATACATTAAAACCTGCTATTTGAGGAAGTATATTTCTAATACCGCGCCTCTTCATTGGTAGATTGTTGGAGTCGATGTCAATAAAGTACTCACCCTTTGCTTTTGTAGAAGTGTGTTCTCCCATAACAACTTTTCCGCTATTATCACACATATTTATGGCAGCTCTGAAGATATTTCCACAGGGGGATGAGAGGTATATTTTAGAAGTGATGGTATTGTTGTAAATGTCATGCGATTTTAAATGACTGCAAACAACTGAAAATATACGTATGTAATACAGATTATAATGTGAGAGCAGTAGTTTATAATAATATTCTGAGGCATTTTATTGATGTTTCAAATGTATGAAAAGTTGTACACTATGAGTTTTGATAATTTGGGACTTTATGTCGTAAAAAGGTCAAGAATCTCCATTTTGAGATGGACTAGTTAGATGGAGAAGAAATGTTATGTAGATGCAGCATTGTTTGCTCTGCAAGTCAATGACTTACAATTTGTACTGAAATCATCTAACAAATAAAAGTAGGCACGAATGTTATATACAAATCGTACTCTTGTACCTCTTCAGAAATTTGTTGCGCTGAAAGTCTTTTATGTTTTAAAATAAAGTCCAACACTCAATGGTCTGAGGATTATCTGGGGCTACCAGATCATTATATTATCAGGAAAACCTTTGTTGTGTAATGTTTAAGCGTAATTTGAGCTTTTGCTAATGCATCAGAATAATATGTATACGTACGCTCCTATTTAAAATATTGTAATGAATGTTTCTCTATCTGTATACGACACATACTCAGGTGTCATTGTGTCCATAAGCTTAACTCTCGTATCTACAAAACATTCCTGGTACCACAATGTAGGTAGGTATTCATTGAGCAATAAGTCTTAATTTATTCTCAAATTAATATTTAATGAAAAAGTACTGAAAAAAATTACCTATTGTTAACCGTTTTTTAACAAATCTGTTAGAAATATCCAGAAATCACATTCATTATACAGGGTAGGCCATTTTAATCTATCCACGCTAATATCTCCGACAGTTTAGGTTCTAGCGAAAATTGACATCTATAAAGTGGTGGGGGAAAATTGTTACTGACCTTAAATTTGACCTTGCGGTCACCGCCAAAGTCGGTCAAGGTCCCTATTTTTGACTACGGAATTGCAGAGAGTGGAATATGTTCTGATGGTGTCTTTTGTCATGGGTCAAAATGACCTCATAAGGTCATTCTGAGGTCAGTATTATTCAATATATTCAAGCCAGTAACTCCAGCGTGGTTGTTTCTATCGAAAAATGATCTCTTGGATTTACCTGGGATATCCCCAACTAGGATATTGATAGGATCTACTTGTCTTATTTAAATATCATCAGGATATCCTGAGGAATGAGATCCCCTATTAGGATATATATAGGACTAAATGAGGATATCCCAGGGACGTCATGTGCTGTGTGGTACTGGTAATGAAAAATCCCTAAATTATGGCGTAGCCGATATTAATGTTTCGTTTACAATGAACTATGACAAATCGTTACGTCTACGCTAAAAAATTACACCAATTACAGTCGGTGAAACAGAATGTTGTGTTCTATTATACCTAATCTTACTCTTACAATTAGTGTCTTAATAATTTTTAATGTTAGGTACCGAAGTTTAATTGCCAACATGAAGGAAAAAAAATACTGTTCCAAACAAAATTACTGGTCACCTGGCTTGTAATCATTTACGAAGGCTCCGTATATGTTATTAAAGGTATAAGAAATCTAATATGACTCTATTACTTTAGGTTAGCTTTATTACACATTTCTTCTTTATTAAGTAAATTCTATGCTTTACCTGCAAATTAAAATAATGCTGAAATCTGGTAAATTTTAGGGATGTTGCCTTAAATTAATAATTTAATACCTCGAGCATCATTATCATTTTAATTAATTCCTTATTCAGATACGAACGATGTCACTCATTTTCATATGGGTTCTTAAATCTGAAATCAATTATGCTCATTCATCACTTCATTTCTCTCAGAATCCTTGCAAGAGACAGGATATCTTACGTAAGCATTTCATAACACTCAGCTCCAATTTATTTCTTCTGGCAAATAAAAGTTGTGTTATTGACACTTCTAATGATTGGTTCCAACAATTAAAATGTAAAGTGAAAAAAAGTTATTATAGATATTGCCGGAGGATTGACAATCAAATTTATACATCCTGGAGAAATATCTATACAGAGTGACCTATTAGTATGACAAAATGAAATATCACCAGATGTAGCAGAAAAAAGTGCAGAAATACCTTATACTAGAAAATGAAGCCACAGGGTATTGCATTTGAAAAATCGACGAAAGTGTATTTCGAAATTCGAGTTAGCTTGTCTATAGATAACCTTTTGTTATAGTGAATGCCTGATAGTATGTTTGGCAAACTTTTATTTGTAACCACATACCATCTAAAAATAAATACAAATTTTAGCAGAGTACATATGCTTTCATAAAAGTTAAGAAATTTTCAAAACAATCTGACATTATTATTCACTCATATAAACTCATTTAAATATAAGCTACCATACTAATTCTTAAAATAATATTTAAGTGTTATGGCAAAATATAATGGGAAACTTCAGGAAAAGAGAAACAAAGTAAATATTGATGAATATTTATTGACCTCTATACATTAAAACCTGCTATTTGAGGAAGTATATTTCTAATACCGCGCCTCTTCATTGGTAGATTGTTGGAGTCGATGTCAATAAAGTACTCACCCTTTGCTTTTGTAGAAGTGTGTTCTCCCATAACAACTTTTCCGCTATTATCACACATATTTATGGCAGCTCTGAAGATATTTCCACAGGGGGATGAGAGGTATATTTTAGAAGTGATGGTATTGTTGTAAATGTCATGCGATTTTAAATGACTGCAAACAACTGAAAATATACGTAGGTAATACAGATTATAATGTGAGAGCAGTAGTTTATAATAATATTCTGAGGCATTTTATTGATGTTTTAAATGTATGAAAAGTTGTACACTATGAGTTTTGATAATTTGGGACTTTATGTCGTAAAAAAGGTCAAGAATCTCCATTTTGAGATGGACTAGTTAGATGGAGAAGAAATGTTATGTAGATGCAGCATTGTTTGCTCTGCAAGTCAATGACTTACAATTTGTACTGAAATCATCTAACAAATAAAAGTAGGCACGAATGTTATATACAAATCGTACTCTTGTACCTCTTCAGAAATTTGTTGCGCTGAAAGGTCTTTTATGTTTTAAAATAAAGTCCAACACTCAATGGTCTGAGGATTATCTGGGGCTACCAGATCATTATATTATCAGGAAAACCTTTGTTGTGTAATGTTTAAGCGTAATTTGAGCTTTTGCTAATGCATCAGAATAATATGTATACGTACGCTCCTATTTAAAATATTGTAATGAATGTTTCTCTATCTGTATACGACACATACTCAGGTGTCATTGTGTCCATAAGCTTAACTCTCGTATCTACAAAACATTCCTGGTACCACAATGTAGGTAGGTATTCATTGAGCAATAAGTCTTAATTTATTCTCAAATTAATATTTAATGAAAAAGTACTGAAAAAAATTACCTATTGTTAACCGTTTTTTAACAAATCTGTTAGAAATATCCAGAAATCACATTCATTATACAGGGTAGGCCATTTTAATCTATCCACGCTAATATCTCCGACAGTTTAGGTTCTAGCGAAAATTGATATCTATAAAGTGGTGGGGGAAAATTGTTACTGACCTTAAATTTGACCTTGCGGTCACCGCCAAAGTCGGTCAAGGTCCCTATTTTTGACTACGGAATTGCAGAGAGTGGAATATGTTCTGATGGTGTCTTTTGTCATGGGTCAAAATGACCTCATAAGGTCATTCTGAGGTCAGTATTATTCAATATATTCAAGCCAGTAACTCCAGCGTGGTTGTTTCTATCGAAAAATGATCACTTTAAAATTTTTAGGGGCTAATTGGTACTTACCTTAAATTCAACCTTAAGACAAACCAATTTGAAGATCAAATTGATTTGTGTTAAAAGAAATCCATCTTTTTAATACCGAATTAAAATTGCACGTACGAGGTAATATAACGTTATTTTTTATGTGATTTGGACAAGGCTTTTCAAGATCAAATATTTAATAATCATTCAGAAGCTGTCAATTTAAATGTAATTTTAAAAATTAAATTAATTTCAACAGTAACAAAGATTATGCTGACCTTATGAGGTCATTTTGACCCATGATAAAGACTCCATCTGAACTCAAAATTATCCGCTAGTTTCAATTCAATTAAATTCATTTCAATTAAAAATAGTGGTTCCTATTTGAAAATTTTAAGTTGACCTTGACCGGTGACCTCAAGGTCAAATTTAAGATCAGTAGCAGTTTTCTCCCGTCAAACCCTATAACTTTTATACAGGTCATTTTTCGCTATAGCCTAAACTACCGGAGATATTAGCGAGGATCGATTAAAATGGCCTACCCTGTATATTATTTTTAATTACATAATGAGTTCTTCTACAATAACTCCTTTTTAATGGTTAAGTAATAGGTTTATCACTTTCAAAGATCTGGTGACAAGTTTTTTTCTGTATGTTCTTTATTTTAAAAAGTGTTTGATCCTCAATCATTATAATATGTAAGTATTAAAAATCTTATTTGATTGACAAAAAGTGATTTCATTTGGACATTAGTTTGTCTAATATCATTTTCCCTCATGCTTAAAATTAGATATTTAGATTTGGTTACTAAACGTACAATTTTGAAAGATTGACAGCCAATCAGATAGAAATTTTGTCATATACCTACATTGTTTTTTAAGTGTATATTGTAACAATCGTGGTAATTTAAAATAAATAAAACGAACAGAAAGTTGCGTATCACATTTTGTAAAAAAAATTACTATTAGAAAAACCAACTGTCCGATTGTTTTGGAAGATTTGATAAACTAAATCTATTCCAAAGTTATCTAAAGTTCAATATATCCATTCTCTTTTTTCAATCGACTGAGGCTTATATTTATTGTTTCTATTCTAGAGGAAGTATCTATCCCAACAAATAAGAGTTTATATCACTACTTTGTTGTACTTACAAGCCTCAAATACATTTATTTGTGCACATCCAGGTTGAATGGGACCACCAAGGTCGACATAATGATCGCCGTGTCCGTAGGGAGCCAAAAATCCAAAGAAGCCTGCATTAGTGTGAATACCATCCACATAATCGGCATCCTCGTTAGTGAGTCTTAAATCGTGTGGCAATTTTATTGGAAACTCAAATAAAGGAGCAGCTGCATCTAAACCTGTGAACGGGAAAAGTACATACAATAAAATAAAGCATGGTCATTCCCTGCACTGTTAAAACCAATGATTTGTTGGTTCGCGTTTCGAATTTGTCAATAAACGAAAAAAACTGTGCGATGACTAAAATTAATTGCCTTAAATTTATTTTCATTATTGATCTTTTTATTTCAGTTGTTAATTAGCCTACCACATCTTATAAAAAAATGTATCATACTTTTTACACATAATTCCAATTTTAATTGGGAACTAACTGACTCTGTATTAATTTTTGTTCATTCGTCTTAATCATAGAACTGTATGGAAATAATAAAATATTTAGAGTCAATCTCTGGAACTGTTTTATTCATTGACTGGCTTTAATGAACTCTTTTTGTTAGATAGATCTCGTGCAAGTGTATTGGAAGCATGTCCTATTCACCTGATGATCCAAATTCATGGTCACTGGCCATTATTTTTTATGTATCTGAAAATTACAAAACTGCCTTTAGAGATTTTTTTGTGGAAAAAAATCTGAATAGATTCTTACCGAGAGTACTGAACATAAATATAATGCAAATTTTTCTACTATTAGTATACAATGTGTTCAAAATAATTAGTATCACGTTTTTAGATATCTATAATACATGCGTACACATTTTTAATAAACATATACAAATTTTTAATATTTTTGGCATGAGAAAATCTTTTCTAAAATTCCCAAGTGTTATTTGAGTAATATTTACATGATTTGACAAGTGTGACTGGAAGTTTACAAGACCTGGAATAATAATGATTGGAGAATAACGTCTCATAACAAGGGACATTCCAAGGTCATGAATGCCTTGCGGTTGGGATGAGGTCTAACAATGATTGTAAAACTCAACCTTCATAAGCAAGACTTGAATAGGAATCAAAGAAAATTGACTTCTTTAATACAATAGAAAACTATAGCTTGGTATGATTTACCCTATGGTCCAAGGCAGACGCAGCTGGAGCTGATGCAGTTGGACTGATGTCCAGGTGGTAAAAAATGTATAATTTTATAATGTATGTATGTATGTCGGGGGGTGGTGGAAAATTGCTTTTCTACCGCGGCACTTAGGCCTTATTAGGCCCCTTGTACACCCCCCTTCATTACTTTTCTTCAAACCATCCTATTACTAAACGAGTGGCTTGGTGACAAAGTCTCGCACAATTTTTATGTATGATAGCATGGTCTTGAGTTACAGAGATTTATTGCTCTATTCTCATTACCATTTTTATCAAGGTGTTGAGGGACCCAGGTCTCTGGTAGGCTGCCACAGCCACGTCCCCGAGCCTGCCTTAGGTCACCCATCCAAGTTCCAGCCTGCGTCCGTGATGCTTACCTCGGCCGATAGAAATCCATCGGCCAAGACACCCGACTAGGCGGTCTCCTTATAACTTCACAATATACAAATATATACATATTTGAAAATTTAATGTCAAATACTAATTCGACTGGGCTGTATTTTGTGACAAAACATTAGAGGAAATAAAAAATTTAATTAAAAGATTAACTTAAATAAAAGGAATAGTATGAAACCGTTTTTTTAGGGTCAGAGTCAATGTTCCTCCTAACAGAGCCTCATAGCAGGCTTTGAGGAGATGAGTTCATAAATAAAATTGTAAATACTAGGACTTCAAGAAAGACTCAATAGAGGGAAATATTCAATGTTTCCTCGCAGAAAAGTATAAATTAAATGCTGAATGACAAATCAGGCTTAGAGAGACCGTTGTACACTATTGACTATAGAAGCATCTCTACAACATTAAATTAGTGGAAAAGCTAAACTACTAGGACTGAAACTTAGAAGATTCCTTGTTGTATGTGCTGAGTGAATGCATAGACTTACACCCTTGAAATTGGTCCATTTTGGTAAGCTTTTCTTAAACACAAAAAAATTAACGGAATTATCGTTAGAAGACTTTCAAGTTTTGTATAAAGAATAAATCTACTGGTCTGTGAGTTGAAAAAGATATTTAGATCATCCTGTAAGAAATCATGTAAGTATTGCTCAATAAACACTCACAAACTTCAGAAGAACTGAAATTATGCCCCTGCTCTGTGTCGGTTTTTAGCGAAACGCCCTGTATATTCAGATCGGCGGGTATATAAAAATATATATGCATATATGTACAGATTTTATTTCGACGTTTTGATATTTTCTATAAAAGTTCTTTCTAATAATCTGTCTCATTGGATTAGTTCGAACTAACAGATAAATTAAAAAAGAAAATACATGTCGCATTTCAAGTCAGGACCTGAATTAAACATTAAATCATGGATGATGCACACATATAACAGACAACGAATAAATTTTGCATTGTTGATTTATGTGTGCATAGTGTCAACAGATAGATGTAATCCATTGTTCTTTTAATGATTCATAGCTGAAAATACCAATTCTGATAAAATTATCTATATTTCTGCGATAATGTTACATTAAATATCTAATATTTTATTAAAACAATCGGATAACATTCGTTTCTTTGCAAGTTGCAAGTTGTAATTTCTAATTCATAAAAAAAATTAAATGACGATAAATTATTATGTAGAACTAAAAGCTCTTGTCCGATGAATTTAGTGCAGGTATAACACTCAGTCATTATTATTTCTTACAATTTTCTAAATCAAATTTTAACAGAAAATATATTTTTCAACTTTTTTACCGACTTGGAATATATTTTCTCTATTTAGAATGTTACATAAAAAATAAGTGTTTAATGAAAAACTGGTGAGTTAATTGCAGCGATTGAGAAAAACATTCAATACATCAAGAGTTTAAGACATTGAATTTTTGTAACTTTCATAAAATTATTTCGTTGTAAGTTACACCTTATTAGTGGAGGCAAGAATATAACACATCGTCAAAGTGATCGGAAATTTTCTCAATTGACTATTATTAATACTTCAATTTACTATAAAAATGCACATTAAGTCTTTCAGTATTCCGTTACCTGTAATCCTCCCGATCTTTTTGCCCTTAGTCAAAGCCTGTATGTGCTTTCCAGCAAATCCAGATACTTGTGCTCCTAGAGAATGTCCTATTAGATGTACGTTTGATAACAACCTAGTATTATTCTTTATTAAATTCATAACAAAGTCTCCAACTATTTCGCCTATTTTCTTTGTCCCCCTTGCAGAGTGAAGATAGTTTCTTTTTGAATGAGGCGACCAATCTACTCCAAAGACGTTGTAAATTCCTATGCTATGATACGATTTCGCCATATTTTGTACAAAATCGATGTCACCTGGAAACAGATAACAATTGAACAATTTTTTGGATGGTTGCTACTTTGTGTCGGTTTAGAATTCTTGAAGATTTGAGATACGTATTCAGAAAAAATTCCGAAGTTGTAGATTTAATTTGTCTTGGTTAGTGGTGACGTTCCGGTACTTGATTTTTACGTATGATTGAACAAATTTCAGATAGACTAGAGCTACAAGTAAATGTGTCGTTTATAATTATTTATTAGTGGCATTATTTAATATATTTTTTTATTTAATTGGATGTTATTGCTACACCAAAACGAAGAATAATTTTAATATTAAAACATATTAAATAAGCAATTCTTTCAGAGAAGGGAGTTAATTTATTTAAAAGTGTGTCAATTAAATAAAAAAGTAAGTATGTAGTAAATGATTTTATTCACATTCAATTTTTTAGTATAATATTTTTCCACAATTACTTATTTTATATTTCGAATATGTTCAATTTTTTGAGTGCAGTTCACTTATTGAATCCGGAATACGGAAATTTTATTTATATTTCGTTTCATTTCACCTTTAATATAATTTTATTTTTCTCTATAACTAAAAACGATTTCTTAATTATACTTAACTGAGATATTTAACAAAATAAACAGCAGAGTTTTCGTACTGACCTACCCCATATGGTTAGATAACCTTAGATAACCAACAAAATTGTATGTTTTTTAACAGTTTCTATATACAGGGTGGGCCATTAGTGTGAGAAAGTAAAATAACTCCCTTGTTACTCATAATACACAAATAAAATTTATATAAAAGTTATACAGAATCAAGAAACCTAAACTACAAAATTAATTTGATACATTAAATGGAGCACCCTGTATATTTTTTAAACATATGGATTTCCGAGCAAATTCTATATATGGCAATATCAACAGTTTATCATTTTAGTGCGGAGTTGCCAAGTTATGAAGAAAATTCTTCCAATTTTGGAAACAACATGACCTCGAAGAAGTTGTATTAACTTTCAGCTACTAACACTTGGAGCAAAAATATTTGATAGAGTTATAAGCAAATGTTAGGTAAAGACTGCTATATTAGCTAATGTCAATATTTTATACATTTTTTATAATACGATCAATTCTAGAAAGTTTAAACATGATTTTCTAAAATTTTTTAAATGGAACAACCTGTATTTTATTATTTTATTCACATATCGGTCCACTTCAAGTTTTATTAAGCATGTCCTATATCTAAAATTGTTAGTTTTTAAGATATAGCAACATTTCTGAAAAAACTTAATTTTTATTATTTTAACGAATACCACAAATATTAACTAATAAAATTAACTCAAAATGGAATGATAAATTATGAATTGACAAGTTGATACAATGAGACAGTTTTTTCCAAAGCCATTTCGTGCGACCGAAAATAATAAAATTTAGGTTTTTCCAGAAATGTTGCTATATCTTAAAAACTAACAGCTTTAGGTGTAAAACATACTTAATAAAAGTTGAAGTGGACTGATATGTGAATAAAATAGAATAATAAAACACAGGGTGCTTCATTTGAAAAATTTTATAAAATTAAGTTTGAATTTTCTTAAAATGATAATATAAAAAATGCGCTGTATAAAATATTGATATTAGCTAATATAGGAGTATTGGCCAAACATTTGCCTATAACTCCAAGTGTTAGTAGTTGAAAGTTAATACAATTTCTTCGAGGTCATGTTTATTCCAAAATTCGAAGAATTTTCTACATAACTTGGCAACCCCCCACTAAAATGTTAAACGTTTTTATTGCCATATATAGAATTTTCTCAGAAACCCATGTTTAAAAATATAAAGGGTGTTCCATTTAAAAAATGTAATATTTGGCGTGTCCCGTGTTTACTCATCGCCCTGTGTGTTTCAAATTAATTTTGTCCTTTAGGTTTTTTGGTCCTATACAACTTTTATATAAACTTTCTTTCTGTATTGTGAATAACAAGGGAGCCATTTTACTTTCTCACACTAATGGTCCACCCTGTATATTCATATAATAATGTGTGACCTCTGCCTTTACCTGCAGCTTGCCATCCGTGTATAATAAACTTAATAGGTTCTGTTTGGCTTTCAATATGGTGTCTGTCGGAATATGTGTCTAATACTGTTACGGATCCATTATTGTTGTAAAGTAAAAATTGAATATGATCAGACAGAACTTCATCAAACGTAAAATCTCCCACTACTTCTAAAAGTTCTTTGGGTGTTACGTTTAACAAACTTTCTAAAAATTCTTCTGGCGATGGAAGGTTTGACAAGTCTGGCAGTCTTGGAAGTCTAGGTAGCCCTGGTAGCCTTGGGAATTGCCCTAAAATTATAAATTAATTTTTATAGATTAATAATCATTTACACCATTTGTTACGTATTTATATGAAAGACAGACATAAATTATATTTAAGTATATTTGTGTATACGAGTATATACAATTTAGGTTCATTGAGGCAGTGGCATTTTGCCTAGCTTTTTGTAATAAAAATTCTTTTAAAAGATAAAATGTACGTCTTTATCTACATATTCAACCTTATCGATTGTAATGTAATTTGAAATAAATCTTCTAAAATTGTGATTTACATTATTATTACATTTGAAAGCCATCAATTCACATTTTCCACCACTCTTATTTTTAAGAAAGAGTTATTTCAGTTTAAGGGAAATATTTTTTTTTGTAGCAGATGTAGTAAACACGCTATTTTGACAGAGTAAGAAATCTTATATAATATCTATAATTTTAATTTTAGAGTATGACGAAGTACGTATAAGTAAGTATTAGTGTTTTAAAATAGTAATTTAGTATTACTGTTTTAAATACACCTTGAAAATAACTTAATAATCCATTGTAGGGTATTATTTTTCCTTTATTTTTTGGGTATTTTGTTTCCTGTGAAAAAATTTAAAAATTAGTGAAATAAACCCTTGCGCCAAAAGGATTTGTCAAGGGTTATTTTTATGAAAGTAGGGTTGCCTAACCAAAAAAACAGACAAATACAAAATACAAAAACATATCACTTTATATCGCGCACTTTAAAAAGTTGTTTTGAAATTTTCACACAACACACAGGTCTAAATTTCACTGAACATTACAACTAAATGTAATACCTCTCCAAAACATGGCTTGGTTGTTTATCTTCCTTCGTGGTAAAACGATCCTCGACTGGATCCATCATACCGCTATCTATCAAATACTTTGGTGGTTTTATATCAGTTTTTTCGTTGAATATAAAACAGAAAGTCCTTGTGGACTTGAAGCGGGTTATTCCTCTGCAAACATCTGCCATTTGGCAATTTTTTCAGGCACTCTTTCACATCGTTGCATTTCCTGTACAACTTCCCGACCCAAGGGCCTTACCGGCATTTCACTTGACAACCGTCTCCCAAAAGCGACGATTTGACGTTTCTTTTTTCTAGACAGCTTGTCTCCCATTATTTCTCGTTGTAGCATAACAGTTCGGAACATCTGGAGTAATCTCATAAATTCGACTACTTTTGGTGGAACCGACGGCATTTCCTTCAACCTTCCTCTCAAAGTTATTTTTCAATGCGATGTTTCCTCATCGCTTACAAGAGTTTTTATCCACTCTACAAAATTTGTAGCTACTGCTCTGGCTATTGTGTCTGCTTTTCGACTCAGATCCATTTCTCCTAGGCTTGCAAGTGGTAGTTCTCTCCATATAGCAGCTCGATCAGGTCGACGTTTGAAGAAATTGGTATAAGGATTTTAATTTAACAACTCTACATTCGCCACTAATGAATTTCTGCTAAATGCTAGTGGTACGCAATTGTACTTGTTTAGTCTTTTTTTCACGTACGCCTATGACACATTTTCCTGAATTACGATGCAGGTTGGAGTCACCCAAAAATTTCATCTGCCTTTTGTCCTTTGGGATCTCAGTTGGTGTGTCAAATCGCTATTTTTATGTCTTGTACACTCATGGGAACACTTTTCGAAGAAGCGGCAATCTTTTGTCGGGTTTAATGACAGCACCATTTTCCAGGGCCTCAAATAATTCAATCTACCAATTCTCAATTTCAGGTTGTTCGTACTTGTCCCGCTTTTCTGTTACATCTAAGTCAGTTTTGCTCAGGAAATCGGACTCCATAAATAACTCCAGACAATATTTTAGGGATTTATGTATTTTCCTAAAATTTTGATTGAAATATAAAGGTGTCGATAAAATAAGTCGTTACATTGTTAATTGATATAATGTAAATCATGTAGATGTATTCTCATACAGATACATTCTCTTATATAAAAGAATTTTTTATATGATTATTTATGCTAATTGTAAAAAACAACAAAGGATAAATAAATAAAACTCTTGCTGGGAGACGAGGGTTGATTTACTGAAACTTTTTTTGTGGAAATACAATATAATAAACTTTTATTTGACTTTTCCTTTTTCCAGAAGGGAGAAATGTAAATTCAGAAAACATGCGATGTTTTAAAATACATAATTTTTATACTAACCTGTGAAAAAACAAGCAGCTATCAATATTTTTTTATATCACGTAAATTGGCTGTTTTGGACATAATTCTGAAATTGTTATATATAAGATTATTCATCAGAACATGACACGACAATAATTATAAAAAAATATATATAGAGAATAACTGAATTACTTGAGCAAACGTTAATGGTGGATTACATTACAACAAAAGAAAATTGTACTCGAAAGCGCTTCGTTTTCGAGATACGGATATTAGACATTAAGGACAATCTTTTTTTAGATTACGAAGAAATAGTTCAAACGATTTGATTAAAATTTGACAAGGTTTGTTACACTTATGGGAATAGTTTCAGGGAGTTTGTTCCCAATTTTTTTTCTTCCAATTTCAAATTTGCTACATATATTGTTATCCAGAGAAAAAGTTTCTTGATAAACTGATATATCAATCACTTGTATATGAGGTGTCCTGAAACTATTCATATTAACGAATTTGTATTGCAATTAACAAATATACAGATTATTTCAAAAACAATATTATGAATTTGAGAGGATTTTGGTAAAAATTTTTTTGGTACATAATGTTTACATTTTGATGCTCAATCACTTATGAACATATGATGGTTCATTACAGTCACAACATTTTTATGCATAAGGTTGTACATGATGTATATTATATCTACATTATTATTATAATACATATCTCGAAACATATGTAGTTGTTGGCGTTTAGCTAAAGTAACACATGTTTCAAGGAACCACACTTGACCAGTCACTGGCAGCTGATGCAGCAATGGTTTCAGGAGCGGTATATTGGGAATTTGGATACTAAGATATAGACCGGAAACGAGAATCTTTTCAATATTGCCTGGCTCTAATTATCACCCAATTGTATATATTAATTTTAGTTTATGTTATTGAAGTGTTTTGCTTGCTTAATCTTTCATGTTTGGTTTGATATAGTATTTATATTAGGAGCTGAAACTGATATTATTGAAATTCTTGTCTATGATTGATGGGTAAGTGGTAAATTGACAGTATTCGTAGTAGTATATATCTTATCTTCCTCTTCTTTCATATCAATGATGATAATTCTTTTCTGTTCTATGAAATTACTGCAAAAATATACACAGAGCCTTCATAAACCACGTGATCAGTATTTTTATTTGGAACAGTAATTGTAGTTCCTTCGCGTTGGTAAAATTAAAAATTACTAAAACAGTAAGATCAACATTACCTTGAAACGCAACATTTTATTTAAAAAATCCCAAAATTTTGGGCGATTTTCAAAGAGCTGTAACTTAGAAGGAAATGGTCGTAGAGAGAATAAAAAAAAGGAAATTGAAGCTTCAAGTGTCTAGTTTTCGGATCTGGAGTTTAAAGGAGTTTTTTTTAGCGTCAGCAGTTTTTAAGTTGTTATCGTCGATCAAAGCAAAAAAATAATTTTTGATTTTGGCAATCAATTACCCGGGAAATAATGGTGGTACAGAAAATCCAAGCAGGGTTTTTGAAAACTGCAAAGTATTCTCTAAGTCGTAATTATTGGTTTTTGATAAAAAAGTGAAAATGTTGGTTAGAAAAAAGGTAAACATTGCATAATTAAGGATATTTGAATAACTTGGCATAACTTTGCATATAATGAATAAACTAAGGACTTTGACTGTAACTATTCAACCTCAAAGTGTCCTAAAGAAACCCTGATAATTTCAAAACGCTGCGATTTTTTTTCTTAGTGCCCCGGAATTTGTGGTTTTTGCTGAAAATCAATGTAATAAGTAATATTTCAGTTTTATTCATTTTTTTTAAGTTAAACATTTCTTTAGCAATAATCCATATTTTCTTCATCAAAAAACGTTCATTATTCTAAAAAAAAAAATGAAAAAAAGGTTTTTTGAACAATAATTTTTTCAAATTTTTTTTAACGTATCCACAAGCTTCACAAATGTCGAAAAAAAATTTGGTTGATTTGACTTTGCAGATAACCATTTAATATCGCGTATTGCCGCCTCTGTTTCCGATCATCGAATTTAAGCGGTGTAGCATATTAATGCACCATGCGTAATTCCTTATAAAGTTTGGATCAATTAATGGTGATTTTGTAATTACGGATAGTCTCGTCGTCATCGACGCCCGAGCATGTCCTAAACATGCCCAACGGGATTCAAGTCGGGACTCATAGGTGGGTGGTTGATACTGTTGATAGTTACCACGTTGAGGATAATTTCTCGTACGTTTTGCGGTATGAAGACGAGCATTATTCTCTATTCCCCATGTTTATACGCATGGTTCAAGGATTTCGGTGATGTACCTTTCGGCAGTCAATGTTCTGGGAATGATTATCAACTGGGTTCTGGCATTAATTGATACGCGTGCCCATACCATCCGTTTATCACAAAAAGTTTGTGATAAACGTCTGATTAGATTGCGGGCAGCGAGGTCAAAGAATCTAACTCCTTTAGATTATTTTTTGTTTGGATATGTGAAAAACTCTATTTTTAAAATAGCATCGAAGAATTAGAAGCGCCAATTATTCAAAAAATTGACAATATATCAACAGCTACAAAATGTGTATCAAAATATGCACAGGAGAGTAAATTTGTGCATAACTAGTGAAGAACACCATTTTGAAGATAATATGTAACATTTTTATCGCGAATATGACAACATATGTAGCTTACTAATTGATGAGTCTGAATTTATTTTATATCGTAGCGAAGTAATGTTATTAGAGCAATGGTTTTTAAATTAATGTAAAACGAATTTCAACAGTAAAACACTCTACATTTCTGTAATTTTTATTATCGAAAATAGGTCTCGGTTTTATAGAAGGTCATAAAGAACAATTCACTAATGTAATACGTGTAT